AATTTAGGTACAATAATGGAATATGATATTTGAATCCTCCCTCTCATGACAATTGAGCTATTCTGTCCCATTATTCTCCTAAATTACCATATTATCGATGTTTCATCATTATAATGATAAATACCATTACTCGTAAATAAAATTTAGTTCCATGAAGTTGAATAAATATGAATACAAGGATGCATTTATAATATCAATTGTATTTGCACAAGAGTTTTTTTAAAGCTATTTTTACATCAGTTTTTTGTGTATTCGCTGTTGCATCCGGGGGCGGAGATAGGGATGACACATTTATGTTTTGAATTTTGCTACATGTACATCAAGGTGTACTTAAGAGATTACACAATGCCCACATTGCATTCTATCATTCATCAATTTAAAACTCAATCAACTTTTTCGTTTAATTTTTTCCCTCCGCGTCATTTTCGATAATCGCTAATATATCATTTTTATGTACAAATAGCAAAATTCTTAAGTTTTTTCTTATGTAAATTTTTTTTCCCTTTTTTATATTAGCCTCAAAAAATGAAAAAAGAAAAAAGCAAAAGGAAATTCATGTGCAAAGAATTTCATTTCATCTCATGTATGTATGCATACATAGCTTGAGTAATACTAAGAGACCTGATTCACCAATGTATAGTTTGATCATTTTTAGTAATTATTCCACTACTTTTAAAGCAACAAATGACAGATATCATTAGCGAGAAGATATTGCAAGGAATAACAATGCACCATTTTGCACACACCAATGTGGATGAATCAGTTACTAATAAATGTGCTTGGAAAAAATGAGAGAAGGGTGAATCGGACCATGGTAAAATGTGACCGGAGATGGTGGGGATTGTGGTGGAATGCAATCGGAGATAGTCAGGCCAGTAGGGGAATGCAATTGGAGCATTTGTTTCTTTTTCTTCTTTTTAATCAAAGAAAAACAATTTTAATAATTTTTTTTTCTTGTCTCTGTAATTATGTAAAGATAGGTTTTATGGTTGATAATTAAGAGCGCTATGTCTAGGAGAAGAAGAGGTGCAAGTTTTGATTGATATAGATGGTGTCTATACTCACGTTCACAAACGTATGCTCTTTTCCTACTATGCGCTGTTTGGGCTCCATTATTAAAAACACATTGTGGGAAAAGTGTATCTTAAAAACGTGATTTTTTGGAAAATGTGATTAAAAAAAAAAAAAAAGTTTTGAGTTCAGGTGTAATATTATATTATTGGAGAATGTGTAGTTGAAAATAAGAGGAAAAATTGTTTTTCAACCTATCATTTATTTATATTTATTTTCATTTTTGTTTTTGTTTTACATTTTTTGAGTTTTTGGGTATTCCAAATTGTTATTAGAATTCTATTTATTTGTTTTTCTCCTAGTATTACAAATTAAAGTTAATATATTTAAAGCATCTTCAAGTGACTCTTTAAATATGAGATGTTATCTATTTTAAAGAGTTAATTCTTAAAATCACCCACCAAAATACTATTTAAATTAATATTTTAATTTAAAGAGTGGGTTTGGCTCTCTATGATTAAATGCATTCAAAGTATTTCAATTTTTAATGTAGAAAAATAATATAGTAATCCAAAGAAAAGCTAGTTAAAATAAAAGATAAAGAAAAATAATAAATATTTTTTTAGAGTAGTCAAATAAATATAAAGAGGTCGTCGAAATATTTCAAAATTTTTACTCTCTAAACTTATAGATGTTCGCTAAATTACATAATATGCTCTTTAAAAATAAATAATCTTTTGAAGATACTCCATATGTTTATTTCTAAACATAGTCAATAAAAAAATGGTTGTATACTAGTTTGTCGGGGAAATTTAAAGATATGCATTTTTAAGTCCTTGTTTGGCAACCGTAAAAATGATTTTTTTTTTTTTTTGGAAAAATACTTTTTGAAATAGTGATTTAAAAAAAAATTGTATGTTAAAAAAGTAAAAAAGAATTTTAAATTTACGTGCAGAATATTCCTTATCGAAACAATGAGTACATTTTCAAATTAATTAATATATAAATGAAACATTTCATAAAATTTTAGAAAAACAAGTATATTATCTTATAAAAATAGTATAATTGATAATTGGAAAAACAAGTATATTATCTTATAAAAATGGTATAATTGGCCCTCCAGGGCACATCCCAACTGGTAAAGATGAGGGCGCTTCAAGGCTGGCAGATCAGAGGTCGTGAGTTCAATTTTTGGAAGGCTCTTGGAAGACTGATATTCTTCTGGAAGACAGGATTTATCTTGGAAGGCAGGAGCTCTAATGGAAGGTAAGGTGCAAAGATAGGAAACGACTTGCTTGGCACTTTGACAGATCAGTTGGGGGGGGCTCTTGAGCACTGGTCAGTTTGGACCACAACCTGCGGTTTAACTTGTCTGCAGTTTGAGGGGCCAATGTGTAGATTCCAGGATTTAGTTACTGTAAGGTTGATACTTGGATATCAAAAAAAAAAATAGTATAATTGATAATTGAACCGAGTTTCTACATCGTAATAGTGATACTTCACTATAATTTTAAAATGTCAAAGTCTTCGTTTCAAACTTTGAGAGTAAACTATGTTGAATGATCGATTGTATTTTATTTTCTTAATTATTGTAATATTGCTACATAGGTATATTACTTTTGAGATATCACATTTTACTGGGGATAACATTATGGAGACCACAAATCCATTTTCGAACCAAGCCACCACAAAGGTATGATTGTACTTGTAATAACTATAAACACACTACACAACAAAACAAAGGAAACATGGTAGACAATTGTGGAAGAGATTGTCATAAATTCTCATTTAACAAAAGCAGATTCCTTTTTCCTCTTTCCATGAAGTTCCTGAAAAAAAAAACAAGAAAACTTTATAATATTTCGAGCCATCCTTAATAATAATAAATAAACCAAGAAAACTTTATAATATTTCGAGACATCCTTAAAAAAAATATAATAACAATAATAAAAAAATTAAAAGAGTCCAAAATGCATCAAAAATATAAATGAATAGAATAATCTACTCTAAAATATAATATAGCCCCATTTTGACCCCCATTATGTGGAAAAATTAATGGGTGGAATAGTATTTTTTTTAAAAATGAGTTATTGAAAAAGAATGAAAAGTTTTCGATTTACGTGTAATATTATTTTATGAAAGATTGTGGTTGAAAATAGGAGAGAGAAAAATGAAATGTAATGGAATTTAATGTAATGGGGATCAAATAGGGGCATAATAAATATCACATTAAGTGAGAATCATTCTTATGACGTTCAGTCGTATTATAATTCAATTTTTAAGTATACCTTGCTTTTCGTTTTTCAATAAGCATTTAATTTATTTAACTATTTAATTATCATCGTTGCATATATAGATTTGATATATTCATTTTACTTCGTGCTTTCATTAATGCATGAAATCCCTATTATTAATTCTCAATTAATTAATATTCGCACTCATTTAATTAATATTAATCTTTATATATGCATTTCGGTATTATTAATTAAATTATAAGTTAATTAAAATTTCACATATAAGAATTCATTTCATTATTCACATCAATGTATGCTAATTAACATTTAATTTTACTTAATTGAAATAAAATATCACACCAAATGAAAATTATTTTTTTGGACAAGTTTAACCTTATTATAATTCTATTATTTCAATAATATCTTACTTTTCATTTTCTATTTGTATTTAACCATCTAGTTATCTTAATGTACATGTATATTTGATCTATTCATTTCATTAGTGTTCTTACATTAATATATGAATTTCCTATTACAATTCTCAATTAAATAACATTAACATTCATCTAATTAATATTCATATTCAATTATGCATTTTAGTGTTATTAATTCTAATTATAAGTTAATTAAAATTTCACATTCTTGCATTTCATTATTCACATCCATGTACGCTGATACATCCAGTTTTACTTAATCGAAAATTAAATATATGATTTACCATTCATGATCATGCATATATTTTCTGATATTAATTCTAAATTAATTGACATTCACGTATTTTTAAATATTATTTTATAGCACTTATAAAACATTTTATACTAACGTTGACTAGTAAAAATATGTACCATAATCTTAGGTTTCAGAATCTAGAAAGGCTACTATAACCCACCAAGGTACTCAGGCTTTTTTTGGGCCAAGCTATGGGCGGCTCAAGCCGGCGAGCCCGATTGCCATCCCTAGTCCCTGGCACAACCTTCCACACCCGAGAATCGACAAACCAAGATGTAAATTATAAGTAGTAAGCACGGTAAACTCTGGATAGGAAGCTTGCAATCATACTTTTTGGTATTTTTGCTTGAGTTTTGCTATTTGTACACTGATTTATCACACATGATAAAATATAAACTAAAGTGTACATCATGGTGTATATATAGCAAGATTGTTTTTGCTTTAATCCCACAATTAGAAATAAATTATAAGCAGTAAACACGATAAACTCTGGAAAAAAGCTCGCAACCATACTTTTTGGTATTTTTGCTTTAATCCCAAAATTAGAAATATTGTCGTGCCACCTGGTTGGGGGAGTTCATGGAGCCATGACTCATCTTTCCAAACGAAAACGAAAGGAATTATTAGCTCCTTTCCTCTTTTCTTTTCCTTTTCCTTTTGTTTTTTTTTTTTTTTTTGTTTTTTGTTTTTTGTCTTCCTTCTTTTAATATAATTTTTCATGGTAGAAAAAGCCTTTTGCTGATGTTTGGTTTTCATTGATAATTATGTAATTAAAATTTTGGAAATTTTATCATTCTCTTTTTACAGTTGTCGTAATAAATGTAATAAATTTCCTGAATGTTAAGCTTGAGTTTTTGGCATCTTACAGCTTGGTGGTTGCCGATGTATATTCCTTTACTAAAGTAATTTTTCTATTTTTAATTATAGATTTCTTATATACTTTGGCTTTTCTTTCATTTTTCTGCTATTTTTTAATTATTTTTTAATCTTTCTTATCCTACCTCCACATCTCTTTTTAATCTTTCGTTTTTTTTTTTTTTTTTTGGTTTTTTTACCATGAGCTTTTCGATGTTTCGAAAGCAGTGACAAATCGAGATCTCCTAAAATCAAATTTAAGCTTTCGCAAACATCTGGTATCCTTGATATATAAGTAGGACACATCTAAAATGTCCATTTGGTTTTGCACACAAGTATTGTATTGTTGGAATTGAAATGATGTGAAATGGAATGAATCTCCTTAGTTATATTTAACAAAATTTAGCTCCCTGGTTTATTGCTTGGTGAATTGTTTGCTCGGCGTCTTCTATTCCTTACATCCTTAACTTATTGCAATTGGTAGAACTTGTCCATTGGGTTGATGGGGACAGTAAGTTTTCTGGTTTTGTTGATAAATAACTGGTTATACCATCTTGTCGAACCTTTATTTCCTGGTACTTTGTCAAAATACTGATTTGGATACGTAAAGTACCCACATACATGATTCTTTGGTAGAGGTAGGAAATTTATTACTGGGAAATGCATCATAAAAAACCTTGACACATTTGTAGGACAAACCTGTTGTACTCCAATGATAATGCTAAGAAAGTTATTTGGTGGAGTTTTGGAGTTTGCTAGCCAACCACTATTTATAGATGTAGAATGAGTTATGTGGAAGGTTGTTATCCCCTCTTGCCCAGCATAATTTCATATTGGTGGAGCACGTTCTGACACACGGGATTGAAAGTAGAGCATCCTCATACCCCACTATCTCCAGTCTATAGAGATCTTCCTGGTTCGTCTGACTTCACGAACCAGTGGTTTGAATGGTCTTTAGCTACTGGGCTCAGTGCTGGATGTGGTCTTGGGAATCTTGTGGTTAACAAATTAGTTGTTCTGTATATGAAGGTATCAGTCCTATCACTAAACAGGGTTTCAGTTTGATCCTAGGATTGACCTTTAGTCAGTCATGGTGGAACATCCAGCTCAATAGACATCGATTGAGGAGCTATGTCTGGTTAGTTTGAGGACATTCAGCTTTTGAGCATGTTGTGATTTGTTTTGGGGCCGGATTGGCTAGTCCATCAGCCTGCCTGAACTGTAGAAGATCAGTTTCTTGTTTTTTGGTGGATAAGCTCATTCAACTTGTTTTCCATACTTACCTTTACAGTACGAATGAAATATATTCATTCTTCCACTTAGTGGTTACTTTCAAGCCATTATTCTGAGCTAATACAGTGTATTGACCATCATTATTTTGTATGCTATTATAAAATTAGTGTGCCGCATGGTTATTAATCAATATATATCTACTCACTGCATATCCTTTTCCCTTGGGAGTTCATAAATCTTTATCTGAACATATCTTGGTATGTGTTTCCTGTTATTTTGCTTAATCTTTATTTATCATCTAGATTGCACACTAAGATGATGCAATTTTGTGGCAATTACTTAACGATGCTATCTTAACGTCTTCTTGAATCATTCAATATTAACTTCTTATACCCATCTGATTGCATTGATTTACTAGCTTGTCATTTTAATTAAACAGTTGTCTTTTGTACCTTGTCTCTCTCTCTCATAGACACAGTTATGTTAGCATGAACTATCTATATAAATGGAAATTAGAATTCTACTGTCTCAAATGAGCATGCAGGTTTCTCAAGTGTTTACTCATCGACAGGATTTGAAGGCCATTAAGCAGGTCACATTTCATGGTCCCTTTTTCCATTTTTATCATCCAAGAACTGAGTTGTCTTTCTCTCAGTATCTCAGTATCTTTGGCATTTCAATTTGTTTAAAATATTTGCTCTTCTAGTTCAAGAATAAAGTGCAGGCGTGGGTGAAGATTGAAGCTAATTTTTGTAGCTGATGATGATTGAATTACGGCTTGAAGCAATCCTGCTATTTTGTGGACTGTTCTCCAGTACAATAGGTTACGTTCTAAAACCTGCTCAACTTTTTACCATTGAACTGAGTACCCTATTCCATCTGTGGTTCAGAGTTTGACCAAATACTAGGTTTTTCAATTCTTAGCTGGAACTCTACAGGTTTTTCAATTCTTAGCTGGAACTCTATATGTTGTCCTAAAATTATTTATATAATCTCCCAAGGACAAAGTCCAAATGAACTTTGTGGTTCTATTGCTGGTTTCAAAGAATTTCTATCTCCTTATTGTGCATGAAACTCTTTTTGAACTTGCAGCGCGCTCATATAAAATCAATCCTCTGGTATGGAGAATTGGTAAATTATGATTTTTGTGTTTCAGTTTTTTTTGCCTTACTGTTAAGTGGTGATAATTTAATGTGAAAGTTCAAGATAATTCATTCTTTTACTTTTATTGTTTAGATTAATATATGTTTTTTTTTAAATGTTTGCTAATGTATTAGTGTAGACTAAGTTTTTGCTCAAGTAATTCTAGTTTCTGATAGCTGATTGCATTCAAGTTTGCCTTCTTCAATTATTGTCAATCTCATCTGGTTTTTAGCTCCTGTTACCTTCCTGTAGGACTTACTGGCCTTTTGATTTGAGATATGGACAGATTTTCTGTTTGAAATCAATAAGTGCGGTAGAATTTGCTATAAATTTTTTTAATTATTGTTCTTGTATGTGCAGGTGCATTCATTGGGATAAATATTGGTACTGATATTTCAAATCTACCATCAGCTACTGATATTATTAGAATTCTTAAAACTCATCAAATAAGTCATGTGCGCCTCTTTGATTCTGATGCCCACATGCTAAGTGCTCTCTCGAACACTGGCATTGAAGTCATGGTTGGTGTTACAAATGAAGAAGTCTTAGGCATTGGAGAATCCCCATCAGCAGCAGCAACCTGGATTAATAAAAATGTTGCAGCTTATATGCCTGGGACCAATATTACAGCAATTGCTGTGGGCAGTGAAGTTCTCTCTTCAATCCCAAATGCAGCACCAGTTTTGGTTCCTGCTATGAATAACCTGTATAAAGCCTTAGTTGCTACAAATCTAAATTATCTAGTTAAAGTTTCAACCCCACAGTCGATGGGCTTAATTCCTCGCCCCTTTCCTCCTTCTACTGCCACCTTTAACACTACATGGAACTCCACAATATTCCAGATCCTTCGGTTCTTAAGAAATACAAATTCCTTTTATATGTTAAATGCTTATCCTTATTATGAATATGTTAAGAGCAATGGTATTTTTCCTATTGAATATGCTCTTTTCCAACCACTCTCTTCAGTCAAACAAATTGTTGACCCGAACACCCTCTTTCGCTACAACAGTATGTTTGATGCTTTGGTGGATGCAACTTATAACTCGATAGCTGCTCTTAAATTTTCGAAGATCCCAGTTGTGGTAACTGAAACTGGGTGGCCTTGGTTTGGTGGTGCCAGTGAACCTTATGCCACTGTAGAAAATGCCGAAACGTTTAATAATAACTTGATTCGGCGTGTTTCAAATGATTCAGGTCCACCTAGTCAACCTGACGTGCCAATAAATACGTGCATCTATGAGTTGTTCAATGAAGATAGAAGGCCAGGTCCTGTCTCAGAGAGGAATTGGGGTGTCCTTTTTAGTAACGGCACTGCTGTCTATTCTATTAGTTTGAGTAATTCAGATGGTCGTGGTGCAAATTCATCAACAGTTTTTTGTATCGCAAAACCAGGTGCAGATGAGAGATCGCTGAGAAGTGGTCTTAATTGGGCTTGCGGGCCTGGCCAAGCTAATTGCAGAGCTATTCAACAAGGGCAGCCTTGCTATTTACCTGATACTTGGCAAAATCATGCTTCTTATGCATACAATGATTACTATCAAAAAATGCACAGTTCTGGAGGAACTTGTGACTTTGATGGCACAGCTATGACAACTGCTATTGATCCTAGTAAGTTTCTGATGCCCTTAATCATTGTCCTTCCAAGATAAAGTGAATTATTCTTTTTACGCCCATCCTTGATACTTAATCACCCTGGTGAATTTTCTAAGAATGTTCAGTTTTTCTTTTATCCTTTGAAGCTTTCATATTGAAAATAAATTGGAATTTATTATTTGCTTTCAACCAAAATATTATTTCTTTTTATCGTAATAAGCAACACCATGCCTTTATATTTAATAGCAGTGCTGCTATCCCATTGCCCCTTTTTCCTATAATCCGTGTTTACACACAACTCCAGGCTTCATTATGAAGGTTAGATAAAGTGCACATATTGCAGAAATTATTCCTAATCCAAACTAACATATATGCTTGACTCTATTGAAAATACTGTCTGACACAATTGTATTCCTGTTTGCTGACAACCCCTCTTGTTGTTTTCGGCGTGGAAGAACTAAAATTTACTTCCATAAGGCTTTAAATTTTCTGTCCATCATTTCTATTGATGAGTAACTTATTTTTCTCACCTAGAAAACTACTTTAATCGTGCATGCTATGGGTTGATCTATATGTCCGTTTTTGCCTTTGTTATAGTCAATTTGCATAAATTTCTTATCCTGTGTTCATGGCTATCGATATGCAGGTCATGGATCCTGTAGATTTACAGGAAGGTGAGTGTTTATCTATTGTTCTTCTTCTTTTTGTGATTTTCTTTACTGGCCTCTAAAATAGTTTTTATACTTTGGGGCAGCTTGAATTCAAGTACCCGTGGGCTATTTTCACCACCTGCATTTGGACCGGTTGGTCCGTCATCGAGAAGCTCTAGGAATTATATATATCTCCACCAAATCGTATCATTGTCTGCACTAATTCTTGCGTTGATTTTAGTTTGATGCTAGCTAAGATTTTGTAGAATGCATGTTGATGAACTGAGATTGCACCTTCAGATGATATTCATTACTATTGGATAAATCCAACCTCCTTTAACTTTTGTCTGTGTGAATGTTTTATCAGTTATTGCAGATGAAGGGGGGTGAAGATAGAGATTGACAAGGATTTTTTTTTTTTATTGAGAAAATAAATACTTGGTTCCGTCTCAATTTGTATTTTATAATGTCATTAGAAAAACACAAATTGGAGATTTAAATCCAAGAATCGTTCTTGAATTCAAAGTAAGCAGTCAATAGTTATTGGTTTAAATTTGTCCTAAATTTTGGTTGAAAATCCATATTTAGCCTTTGTTTGAGTCCCATTTTTTTGGAAAGAATGAATTTTTGAATAGTGTATTGATAGGAAATGTGTGGTTAAAAAATAAGGAAAAGTTTTGGATTTGCGTGTAATATTATTTTATT